CTGAATTATGAATGAAGGAAATGGAATTTATCATTAAAAACCTTCCCGTAAAGAAAGCTACAGGTCAGGTTGGCTTCCATGGTGGATTCAGTGAAGAGAGGTTCAATTAATTTAAGGGAGACATGATGCCAGTAATACAAAAGCTTTCAGAAAATAAGGGAGGAGTAAAACACTCCCTAACTGAATTTATGAGAGCACTAGTTGATTCCCAGGTGGCTCGGGGGTAAAGAATCCCCCTGCAATGTAGGACACGCAGGTCCGATCCCCGGGTGGGGAGGATTCCCTGGAGGAGGAAATAGCAACCCCTCCAGTATTCTTGCCTGGGAAATCCCTTAGACGGAGGAGCCTGGTGGGCCACAGTCTCTGTGGTCACAAAGAGTCAGACAAGACTGAGTGACTAAACAACAAGTCTCTTATGAATAGATGCAAATGTCCTCAGCAAAATACTAGCAAACTGAATCTAGCAGCGTTGAGAAAAAATGATATACCACAAGAGATTCATTTCAGAAATGCAGGGTTGATTTAACATATGGAAATCAATTATGTAATACAACGTATCGATAGAATAAAGGAAAAAGCTGCATGATAATCTCAGTACAGTAGATTCAGGGAAAGCATTTTGCGAAATCCAACACATTGCGTGATCAAAAATCCAACACATTGTGTGATCAAAATCCAACACATTGTGTGATCAAAATCCAACACATTGTGTGATCAAAATCCAACACATTGTGTGATCAAAATCCAACACATTGCGTGATCAAAAATCCTACAACTAGGAATAGAAGTTATTATCTTCAACCTGATAGAAGGCATCCGTGAAACATCTAACCATATATATAAAGGTGAAAGAGCGGATGCTTTCCTCCGAAGATGAGGAAGAACACAAGGCTATCTACTCTTACTACTTCTGTTGACGAGGTTCTAGCCTCTAGTCAATTAGACAGGAAAAAGAAATAAAAGGCATCCAGATTGAAAAGGGAGAAGTAAAACTATCTTTATTTGCAGATAACATGTTCTTGTATATAGAAAATCCTAAGGAATTTACACACACAAAACTATAACTAACAATTGATTTCAACAAGTTTATAGGATACAAAGTCAGTATACAAAAATCACTTTTATTTGTATCCACTAACAATGAGCAATCTGAAAATGAAATTAAAATATGATTCCAGTTATAATAGCATCAAAAAAGATTAAAATAATAAAAAGAAGTTCAAACATTATACTCTGAAAACTATAAATTACTGTTGAAAGAAATGAAAAAAAAAAACCCTAAATAAAGGGAAAGGCAGCCTATGTTCATGGAACAAAAGACTTAATTTGTTACAATAACAGTACTCTCCAAATTTATCTACAAATTTAATGGAATCCCCATCAAAATCTCAGTTGCCTTTTTTTTTGCAGAAATTGATAAGCTGACTCATAAATTAATATGGAGATGGAAAGGGCCAGAAAAGCCAAAACACTCTTGAAAAAGAATGCAGTTGAGGGACTTATGCTTCCTAGTCTCTAAACTTTCTACAAAGCCACAGTAGTCGAGACAGTGCATACAATTAGTATTCCTGAAAAATGCAATGGAAAAAAAATAGAAAAAAATACAATTATATGATCAAAGAGAAATTCTTGAACTCAAAAAAGTAAGACTTTATTGAGCACTTGCTATATACTGTGCTAAGTGTTCTATCCATTTATTATTCCATTTAGTCCATAGGACTACACTGAGTGAGGAATTCTGTCGCCATCTCCATTTTTTCCAATGAGGAGACTGAAGTTTAGAGCCTGTGCCTCGCCATGGTGGTGGAGCTGGGCTTTGAGCTCAGAATGGCGGCCCGACTCCGGTGCCCGGCTTGATACTGCAGATCTGAATTCGCAGACGGAGAGCTCATGCTGTGTTCCAAGAAGAGCAGTGGCTGGCGAGACAGCTTTCTAGGCTTCGGGGAGAAGAGGACTCTCTGCAGATTTTCCGCAGGGAGAACGGCAAGGCTGGCTTCCAAGTTGTCCACAGCAACTTTCCGCATTGGTGACTGGAGTATCGTCTATCATATTCTGAGGAAGAGAAAGTGTGAAATCCAAGAATGTTGTAGTCAAGTTTAGAGAGACAGAGACAAGAGAGATATTCTTTAACATGGAAGAAGTTAGGACTTGTAGCATCCACGAGGCCTTTTTGGCAGTATTCCACCAAGCAGGAATTGATTTAAAATAGAGGATTAAAGAAACGGTGAATGCATTTTATTGATTGACTGATTGAGGTATAGTTGATGTACAATACTATATAAATTTTAGGTGTACAGTATAGTGATTCACAATTTTAAAGGTTATATCCCATTGTAGTTGTTATAATCTCATTTATAGTATTTATAATTATAGTATTATAAATATTATAAAACATTGGCTATATTCCCTGTGTTGTACTATATATCCTTGGAGCTTATTTACTTTATACATACTGGTTTGTACCTCTTAATCCATACCTGTATCTGACCCCTCAGATGCATTTTAATATAGAACTGATGAAAAACAATTATGGGGTTGGACATAGTGGCTAGGAATTTTGGCAATGTGGAATAGTACTATAACAAAACAGGAGGCTGAGGGGGATCACGGGAGAAGGTGGTAGGGATATGTCAGTCTCCTTCTTGCTATCATGGGTCAGCAGATCCTGCGTGGAGCTGAAGTATGTGATTAAAACAATGAGTCATACACCCGAGGCAGAGCTGACTTATTGGAAAAGACCCGAAGCCGGGAAAGATTGATGGCCAAAGAAGGGGGCGGCGGAAGATGAGATGATGGGGTGGTTTCACTGACTCAGTGGACATGAATTTGAGCAAACTCCTGAAGACAGTGGAGGACAGAGGCACCTGGCAGCTGCAGTCCGTGGGGTCACAAAGAGTGGGACATGACTTACTGACTGAGCAGCAACAACAGAATGGGACTTCCCTGGTGGGCCAGGGGCTGACTCCCGCGCTCTCAATGCAGGGGGCCCGGGCGTGAACCCCGGGGGACCAGATCCCACTCGCCACAGCTGAATATTCCACATGCCACAGTGACGATCGAAGGCTTAGTGCCTCAACCAAGACCCAGCACAACCAAATAAATAAACATCAAAAAAAAGAAAGGACCGGATCTCTGTCTCTCTTCTCTGTCTCTTTCCTTGTCTCTCTGTCTCTCTGTCTTTCTGTCTGTATACACACGTAACACATGCATGCAGGTGCATATTACACACATGCATACATATGATAAATATCAGGTGTATTTTTAATTTTAGAAAGACTGTGAACTTTGTGTTAAAAAACACGTTTTTCTGAAATTGAGTGCTTTCTTTGGTTACACTTTTGTTTCTCCTGTTAAATTTAATTAAAATGTAATGGTTTAAATTTAAAGCCAGCACATATCACAGTCCCGGTGTTTGTAAAATGATTTTTATCTTTCTCTCCTCTTGGTACTCATGTAGGCAGAGGTACGGGTTATTGTTCAGTCAGTGTTCACTGGTTATTTCTATGTGGTAGAATTTGGTGATGCTTTTTCGTATTTTTCTTTTTGTATGGTGCTGCTTTGTTTTTGCTTTAAAATTATCTTGGAGCTTTTAAACATTGAAAGCTGTTCTTCAAAAACAAGTGAGAGATAATTTTTTTCAACAGTTTCAGCGTTGGACTTCCACGTGAAAATGTCAAGAAGTAGTTAGACATGAGTCTGGAATAGGTCTGGATTAGAGGCGATCAAGTTGGGAGGTGGCAGCTTGGAGGTGACCTCTAGGTCATCTTGGGAGACGTAAGAGGGAAGGACGGGGACTCAGGGGGCACTCTGCCTCTCCCACGCCTAGAGGGCGGCTGGGGGAGGAGCCGCAGCGGGGCCAGAAATGACGGTGCCCAGAGGTAGGAGGGACACCTACCTCTTAGCACTTGCAGAGCCAAGCGCTAAGCCAGGAAGGGGCCAGGCGCTTCTGATAAGATGCTGGGATGCGGTTCAGACGCGAGGGTGGCCCACTTGGGTGTCACCCGACAGCATGCTGGCCATCGTCTGTGTCCTCTGCCTCCCCCCGCCCCACCCCAGGGCTCACAAGGCGGAGACCCAGCGGTTGGTTTAACTCCCCTGGAAGGACCATTTCAAGACCTCGAGAATACTGGGGGTTTGGCTAACAGCTGGGTTTTTGGAGAGCTGCTGACTTGCAGTCGATGTCGGCAGCATGTTTGGAGAGCATCTGTGTGGTTTCTAAATGGGCCACAAGTAGCTTCTGGTTGATAAATGCTTTATTTGACTCGTGAGTTTAAAGAGGGTAACCTCTGTAACAGTAGATATGTGTTTGCACTTCATTATGTCCCACTCCACTTGCAAGTCTTTCCCTTGATTAGTTGGCAGTCTTTCTGGCAGGGCTAAAGACGCCAACCTTTAAAACCTCGTTATCTGTTGACAGGCGGTCAGGTTTGGGGAGAGAGGGAGCTGAGGTCGCTTTTCTTAAAGGTCTTAGTTTTCTTAAGCTCTCTGTCCTTGAGAGTAGCTGACTGCCGCCCAGACCGCCGCCGCAGCCCCGGAGCCTGGCAGATTCGCTGTCCGGTTAGTTCTCGGGCCCTTCCGCTCTTTCTGAAGCGCAGCAGAGCCTGCAGGGCCGAAGCCGCGGGCTGCCGTGACCTCAGCCCTTGGTGGGGACGGCCGTTTCCGCCCGTTGCTGGGCCTGCTTCTTTGCCGCGGAGCCTCTCTGTCAGCATCCCGGCCTTGCAGCGCCGTCCCCGCCGAGGCTCCTGCTGGCACCCTGTGCCCATCCACGCCCGCCAGTGCTCAGGCCTCGTGCCAGGCGGAGCACGCCTGCCGGGGAGCAAGCAGCTGCCCCCCGTCGCACGGACGCCACTCTGCGCCGTTCCCCCCCCCCCCCCCCCCCAGTGCCACGCACTAGCGCGTGTTTCAGTGCTTCAAGCCCAGCTCTGTGTTTGCAGGTAGGGTTTGAAGGAAGTAGGCTTGCATGTGGATCTGATTAGTTTTCCAATTTTCTCCCCTTCCAGGTAATACTTTCTAATATTCAGAACAGAAGTCCCAAGCCTGGCCCTGCTCCCCACGATCAAGAACTAGGTTTTTTCCTAGAAACGGGACTGCAGAGAGCCCATGTCCTCTATTTCAAAAATGGGTAAGCTGTCTTCTCTTTTTAAATAAAGTTCCTAAAGAAGGAAAGCAGAAAGCCTTATCATGCTGTGTTCAGTTTAGTTATTATCCTGGAGCAGTTTGAAATATACACCACAACTGGAATTTCTTGAAGAAAGAGTGAGCTCTTTGTTTCTTCTCCACCCGGCTCATCACTTGCCTGGGAGATTCGAAGGAGGGAGACGGGCGTGTGAATGCGAGTCTCAGTCCGGAGCCCCAGGGCCAGGGGACAGCTGGGGGCCCAGACCCGTGCCCTCCCGCCCCTGTGGGGACCATGCTGCCCTCCTGCCCCCGTGGAGTGCTGCCCAGGCCTCCCTGCTTTGCCGCGGGACACGTTAGTGAATCGGCAACCCTGGCCCACAGGATCGTCTCCTTCTGAACGGCTGGTCCCTTTAGAGAACTGTATTGCCAGGTAGCAGACGGTTTTTGTGAAAGTCCCTGTGGCTGGAGTGCCATGCAAGTGGTTTCTCTGTGAGCCGCCTCTGAAAGGGGATTTTAGAAGGTTCAAGAGCCTGAATGTAGTAACAGACGCTGGTGCATTTGCCGTTTGCCGTCCTTCCGTGTTGCTCTTATGAGGAATACGACAGTGCTGTTCATACCTCTCAGCTGTCCCTTGTTTTGACCTTCTGCTTCTGGATAAGTGTCCGTGGAGACCGACGCTAGGTGTCTGACTCCCCCGTAGCTCCTCTGAGGCCACGCAGGGGGCCTCTTCCTCTAGGAATGGTCCAGTGGAGCTTCGAGCTACAGACGGGGTATTGGAAATGTGGAGCTGCCCCCTCTTCATTTTCAAGAGCCTCAAACCTTGAGGCATAGCTCACGGAAGTGGGATTTCATTTCTGCCTGGGGGCCCAGAGCCACATGCTTCCGTTTCCCTTTCACTGGGGAGCTAAGTGCTTATTTTCCAAATCCTGCTAAACCATTTGTGGAGCAGGCCTGCTTTGCTCCAAAGGTTCGGATTGGCAGGGCCCACAAAAGGCTGCAGTAAACGCCTCAAGGTTTGGAATGGCTTGGTGGCTTTGGCTTAGAGATGCTTTTGAGTTTGATCTCATCTGTCTCTGACAGATCGTCTGAGTGATGGTGCATGGCCCCCAGGCTGAGTTTTGAGTTCTACTTTCCTTGCTGTTATAAATAGAGGGAGAAGGGACAGAACATGGGAATATTTTCCTAGTGATCTTTTTGCTCCCTTTTCACGATTAACCGTAGTCATCACAGAGGATGCTCCAGCCTGGCTTTCCCTCCCTCTAACTGTGAGTGTGTGTGATTGACGGACAAGCCCAGAGGCTGGAATGAACTTCCCTGGGGCTTTCAGAAACCCCCAATCAGCGGCTTCTGTTGGAAATGCTTTGTGTGAGATTGATGAGGGTGGGCCAGCCAGCTTAGTTTCCTATCTGAAGCCTGCTCATCAAGGAGGAAGAAGCAGGGCCGTTGGGCTCAGCTCTCTTTTCCTGGACCTCTGGGTGCCCCCAGCACTGAACAGGAAAATAATGATGAGAAGTTTGCCGAAGGTGACGGATTACGTGCTGTAACTGCTCCCTGGCTCAAGCCTCATTTCATCTCACCCGAGGTCAAGGCGATTCCCATTGGCATAGTCAGAGTTAGGGCACTGCTCCATTTTGAAGCCCTGTTCCCTCTTTGCTTGTCCTTTTGCTCGTCTCCCTGGGCTTTAAGGAGCAGTAACGCCCTGAGCCAGTGGCTGGAAGGCCTCACCAGCTCCTCAAGGCAGCAGTGACGAGAGCTGACGGGGGTGGGTGGAGGCGGAGGCCAGTTCTGAGACCACAAGATCCGGGGGAAGGAGAGACCAGTAGGAGGGTCTGGGCATGCCACGCGTCATCGGCTGTGTACCTGGTGGTCCCTCAGAGCCCGAGGGCCACACCTGGGGGGCATCTGACAGCGGCCGCCCACCCCTGGTGTCTGCAGGGCACGTGGGGACGGACGGGCCGGCCGCCATCCCTGAGCCCCGGGGGCTTCCTGTCCTGCGATGTGCTTGCTGCTTCAATGTCTCGCTCCTTTTTGTGTTTCTACATTTGAAAAATATGTATGTGGGAGGATATAATGGAAAGAATTTGACTGATTTTTCAAGCATAGGAAGATGCATCATAGGTGAGTTTAGCAATAAGATACACAATTGATAAAGCGTATCCTTTTCTTTAGAAATATGCTTAAATATACTCAGCTTTTTCATTGCCAAGCCGGTGGCCTCGGGGCTCTCTCAGAAAGACCCTGGCCCTGGACCAGTCCCTGGGCCCTCCTGGTGCCTTGGGTCTCTCTCCTCTTTGCCGAGCACTCCCGCCTGGTCACTGACCCTCGGGCGTTACCTCGGCCACGTCCGCCCGGGCCCTGCGGTGTTGCCTGTGTTTCACACGCCAGGCTTCTGCGCTTCTGACCTCACTCCTCTTGGCTCTGCCCCGCTGCAGGGGAGATGCTGTGTGCTGGGCTTCGGTCTGACCCTCAAACTGTGGCCTCATCCACCGTCCAGCCTGGCTTGTGAAGAAGCACTTGACCCCAGGATGAGGCATGCCTGGGGGTGGCTCCCAGCTTCCACTGTGGTGTTTTCTCATCCCACTTACATACATCATGTGAAATGCCGGGCTGGATGACAAGCTGAAATTAAGATTGCTTCGAGAAATATCAATAACCTCAGATACGCAGATGATACCACCCTAAGGGCAGAAGGTGAAGAGGAACTAAAGAACCTCTTGATGAGGGTGAAAGGAGAGTGAAAAAGTTGGCTTAAAACTCAACATTCAAAAACTAAGATTCTGGTCCCATCACTTCATGGGGGAAGAAGTGGAAACAGTGACAGATTTTTTTTTCTTGGGCTCCAAAATCACTGTGGACAGTGACTGCAGTCATGAAATTAAAAGACATTTGTTCATTAGAAGGAAAGCTATGACAAACCTAGATGGCATATTAAAAAGCAGAGACATCACTTTGCCAACAAAGGTCCCTATAGTCAAAGCGATGGTTTTTCCAGTGGTCAGGTACGTATATGAGAGTTGGACCATGAAGAAGGCTGAGCGCAGAAGAATTGATGCTTTTGAACTGAGGTGTTGGAGAAGACTCTTGAGAGTCCCTTTGACAGCAAGGAGATCAAACCAGTCCATCCTAAAGGAGATCAGTCCTGAATATTCATTGAAAGGACTGATGCTGAAGCTGCACTCCAATACTCTGGCCACCTGATGTGAAGAATTGACTCATTAGAAGAGACCCCGATGCTGGGAGAGATTGAGGGCAGGGGGAGAAGGGGACGACAGAGGATGAGATGGCTGGATGGCATCACCGACTCTATGGACATGGGTTTGACAGACTCTGGGAGAAGGTCAGGGCAGCCTGGTGGGCTGCAGAGAGGGGTTGCAAAGAGTCGGACTCGACTGAATGACTGAACGACACCATCACACTTCTCGTCTACCAGATCCTCTGCGCCCCCCCCGCCCCTTCCTCTCTCCCCTCCTTCCCTTCTCTTTTCTTCCTCACCCCTCTCCTCCTCACTCCCCTTTCTCTCTGGCCCCCTTGGAGGGAGACAGCACCTGCTCTCACGCGGCCCATGTATCCTGGGCGTGGTCTGACTTGGCACACACCCATGTGGATCTCACCTCCGTTTTTCTCATCCCTCTGGGTGGCAGCAGCAGGCCTGTTAAGGCTGAAAAAACATCTTGCTGAGGCTTTGCTGCTGGAGGCAAGAGGAGAAGGGGACGGCAGAGGATGAGATGGTTGGAGGGCATCACTGACTCAATGGACATGAGTTTGAGTAAGCTCTGGGAGTTGGTGATGGACAGGGAGGCCTGGCGTGCTGCAGTCCATGGGGTCGCAAAGAGTCGGACACCACTGAGCGACTGGAGTGAACTGGAACTGACGCTTTGCAGAGGTGAAGTCAGAGTGCGTTGGCCTCAGAGGGCCAGGGCTGCTGCTCTGAAATCCTCAGATTGCCTTGCCCATGGCAGGCCCCCGGATGGGGAGCCGCGTGGGTGCTGGAGCCAGAGGACCTGATGAGGAGCCAGCGCTCCTCCCAGCTGAGTGTTGGTTTCTTTATCTGTGTGTGTGCTAAGTCTCTTCAGTCGTGTCTGACTCTTTGTGACCCCGTGCACTGTAGCCCACCAGGCTCCTCTGTCGGTGGGATTCTCCAGGCAAGAATACTGGAGTGGTTGCCATGCCCTCCTCCAGGGGATCTTCCCGACCCAGGGATCAAACCTGCGGCTTTTATGTCTCCTGCATTTGGCAGGCGGGCTCTTTGCCGCTAGTTCCCGCGGGAAGCCCTCCTTTATCGGCCAACACACCCGAGAGCTGCGGTGAGCTGCAACCGAGAGAACACGTGTGGGAGCACTTGGTGCAGCGTCAGGCGGGCGGCCAGCGGTGAACTGTAATTTCCGCTGATGATGATGCCTGGCTGGCTTTCCAGCTGGAAGCGGGACCACAGGCAGGTCAGACTCCAATTCCTGAAGCAGGCGTCATTCACTTGATTGCAGAGCCTCATGCAGCAGAGTTCTCAAGGAAGGGTGTTTGTTGATGACCGCTGGTGAGTGTGGTCTCTGCCCGAGAAGCATCGCGATTAGCCTGGATAACCCCCCAATAACCGAGGGCCACAGCTGTGTCTCAGAGAAAGGAGGAGGGGCTGACCGTTCTGGGCAGAGGAGCGGCCTGGGCTCCCCCAGCTTTCTAGGAGAGGAGTGTTGCCCCTCCCCCACGGCTTGAGTCCTTGACGCCAGAATTGCCAGAGCAGCTTGACTTGGGATGCTCTTTATTTGCTCCACGTTGATTTAGGAATATTCAACCACGTCCTGGCCTTCCCAGGTGGCTCAGCGGCAAGGAACTCACCTGCCAATGCAGGAGATGCAGGTTCGATCCCTGGGCCGGGAAGATCCCCTGGAGGAGGGCAGGGCAACCCGCTCCAGTGTCCTTGAGAGTCCCAGGGAGAGAGGGGCCTGGCAGGCCCCAGTCCATGGGGTTGCAAAGAGTCAGACGCGACTGCGCAGCAACAACAGATCACGC